TGTACAGACTTTATTGGCAACTAGTATAACCTTTTATTTTCCTCAGTTTAGGCATAGGAGGCAGAAAACGGAGCAGAACAATTTGACTTTGCTTCTTTGTTGGAATTGCCGCATTTGATCGTTCATTTAATACAATATATATTATTGTATGCAGTAGCCTGTAGCATATGACTCAGTGCAAAACCTGGACTCACTGCACAATGACAGCTCCTCATAACAACCGCCCAAAATGTCCTGAAATAGGGGAGTTTAGGTATCTTTCAGCATTGCTTCTATGATGAATACCTTGCCATGTTGAATCCCTTTAAAATTTTAACTTTGGAATTGCAAACTCTCAACTTGAAGAGGAAGGTGATTTGAAGTCAAAGACTCAAGCTGGGATTTGAAGAAACAACTCAGAAAGACCTTTTCCTCCCTGATAGAGAACCATTTCAGACAAGAACCCTGTTGTTACTGCCCAGTATGGGGGAAGATATTACCAACAGCAACGTTCATCACAGAGGTTTTAGGACTGATCCCATCACCACCACAAGAACACAAAATGAATTTACTGTGACGCTGACAGACTACTTTGGAAGCACTGCAGAGGTGCGTTGCTGTTTCAGCCATCGACTGTTGGCAATTCTGCCAGTGAGTGAATTACAGTAGCGATATTACAGAAATCCTTACTGTAACTTGAGATCTTAAAATATTTGCTGGTACTGATCTCTGAAGGGTTCTCTAGGATTAAGCTAGCTGGAAATGCAGCTGTTGTGGTGGTGCTTTTATTTTTAATTTTGTTGTTTAATAAGGCTGTTTTCCCTTAATGTTTGCTGAATTATGCTTAAAATATGGCTTATATCAAGGCCATAACACTAATAGCATATTTATCTTCCCATAATATTGCATTCATGTTAGCTAACTTTTAAGGTTTCTTCTATTTTAATGAAGTTATTAAAGTGAATGCTCTGACTGCATAATTAATACTGAGGGAGCATTCACAATCCCTCATCAACGGTCCAGGTTCTAACCTATTTTTTATTTTTCAATGACATTCTTTCATAAGACATACAACAAAGCCTTTTGAAATGTTATGCAATATTTAAAACAAATATGTAATTGTAGAAAACTAGCTTTATTTCTCCTGTTGTGTTATTTGGTCCTCAGAAGTGGTTCTGGCTTTATAGTATTTGTTTGGCAGATACAAAGAAGCGCTGTGTATTTTCTATTTATAACCCATAAATATTGAGATTAGCTTTCACACATAATGGATGGGACCGTGGGCCCCATTCTCTTCCATGGCAGCATCTGCACCCTCCTGCAACACGGATCCCATCACGACTCTTTTCTCTTTGCAATTCTTCCTTTGCATTAAACTGTCACAAATAGGTGCAGTTTAGGGTCTGCACTAATCTATGATACTTGGCAACAGCTCCCAAGGCAATCCTTGAGCACGTGTCCCTAGGGCCCTTTCCTTCCCGCCGCTGCTCCAGGTCTGACCAGGAGGAATGGAGAAGGGCAGCATTGCTAAGGAG